TTGAATGTGGTTGTATGAAAATTGAATATGCTGTTGCCTGGATTTTTTATGCTAATAGACCTGCTAGAATTAGGGAATTTAATGAGCGTTGTGTACTATGTGATTTGCCACCAAGAAAAATTCCAAGACATATTAAAACAAGGTGGAATTCTTTTTACGAAATGCTTTCAGTTGCTTACGAATATAGAGGACCCATACAAATGGTGTTTAATGCTCATAATGCTGACCCATTAGACAGAATTTGTGAAGAAGATTGGGAAGAAAGTAATGAACTATTAGAATTTTTAAGACTTTTTTATGATGCAACAACCATGTTTTCTGGAATTTATTATCCTACTATTTCATCAGTATTAATAAATATTTGTGCTATTTCAATTCAATTTTCTAAATACAAAAATATTGAAAAATTTAGAGTTGCAATTGAAGGTATGATTGAAAAATTTTAAAAATATTTTTTTCCTATTCCTCAAATTTTTTTAACTGCTACTTTACTTCATCCTGACTATAAATTACAAGGTGTGCAGGGATTTGTTGACACTTTTTATAATACCTTAGAAATTTCACCGGAAATAAATCCAACTAGTCAAATGTGTAAGTGTAGCATAAAAGTAGAAGCAAAAATTTTGTATGAAAAATATAGAACTACAGGAAATATTCAAGAAGTTGGTCAAACTTCTAATCCTCAGAGTAAAGCTCGAATTTCAAGTTATATGCGAGATTTTCTTGGTCTTAATTCTACTAACCGTGATGATTTTGAAGAATATCTTAATCAATCTTTAGAAACAGTGGAAGACGAAGATGGCAATGAAGATTTATTAGCATGGTGGAGGAGGCGGAGCGTTGCATTTCCAATTTTAAGCAAAATGGTTCGTGATGTTCTAGCTATTCAAGCTTCATCAGTTGCATCAGAGGCTGCTTTTAGTACGGCAAGGTTTCAACTTGGCGATCATAGACATTCATTGGCGGAAGACAGTTTGGAAATATCAGTTTTATTTAGAGATTGGGTCAACGCCGAAAGGAGAAATGATAATTTGCCAAAGTTAAGTTCCAAACAAGAAGCTTGGATTAATGCGGTACTTGGATCTAGTGATGATGAATTAGAGTCACAAGAGTTTCTAGCAAGTTTGCCAACACCGGAGGATGTTACCGTCGATATGATGCGACAATTAGAATTGAATTTTAAAGGAAAATACAAATATTAGATTACATCAGAGAACTAATTGAAACAGAACCCTTCCTAGAAGGTGGCTGCGTAAATTAGTTACTCATCTAATATTTGTAACAAATATTAGTTTTACATATGAGAACTTATTGAAACAGAACCCTTCCTAGAAGGTGGCTGCGTAGATTAGTTACTCCACTAATATTTGTAAATTGTAACTTCTAAGTTCTAAGTTGCAATTAGATTTTATTGAATAAATTTGAAGGCTTTATTAAGTCTTTTTTATATAACTATTGTCTTGCATTTTAATTTTAATATATTCATACATATTTACATATATACTAATTTGTTTGAAAATAGTTGAACATAATAAAAAGAGAACTAGCTATTACAAAATTTTATAATAAGGAACAAATGTTAAAAAATGGAACTTTAATACATCAACTAACACCTAGATTATTAAAAAAAAAAAAAAGAAGGAAAATTCAAAGTATTGCACATAACGTCCTTTTTTGGGGCCTTTTCTTCAAAATCAAAATTTCAAGTTTAAATTACTTTAAAATATTTAAAAGACAAATTTGAACTTCTCAAATTTGTAATTTCAAAATTGAAAATTGAAAATTGAAGTTTGAAATTTGAAAGTTGAATTTGAAATTTGAAATTTGAAAGTTGAATTTGAAATTTGAAATTTGAAATTTGAAGTTTGAAATTTGAAGTTTGAAATTGAAATTTGAATTTTGAAATTTGAAAACTTAAGCATTATTTATTAGCTAAAAATGTTATTGAAAAAAAATCAAATAAACTAAAAATGTTATTCAATAACATATAATTTCAATACAAATAAATAAGTATATAAAAAATAAAAAATCCCCCGTCCCGTCCCCCCAAAACCCATCCCATCCCGTATATATAGTGGGACGGGATGGGACTTATTTTTGTCCCCCCAATCCCGGTCCCCCCAAAATCCCCCCAGATCCGTCCCCCGTCCCGTCCCGTCCCCCTTCGTCCCGTCCCCTTCGTCCCATCCCCCAGTCCTCGTCCCCGTCCCCTTGCCAGCCTTACTCCCTCCATTTCATGTTAAAATTAAAATACTAAAATTCAGTATTTAATAAGAGTAATGTTTACAAATATTGAAATTCAACAAATTGAAATATTAATGAGTTGCAAATACTTCTACTAATAACTTTTTTTTCCCCTTGGCTAACTAGGTAGAAATTAAGGAAATGAATGGGGAAACAAAGTTCAAGGAAAACATAAATAATATATCCTTCTCTGTCTCTTCACATTATTAATCTTTAGTAATTCGTAATTTAATAAAAGCACTCTCTAATTTACTCTGAGATTTTATACGACATTTGAAAATCTACCAATTAAATTTTATATAAAATTTATAGATGAATAACTTTTATACCATTTACAAATCAAACATGGTAAATTAATATATACATGGTGTAGCTTAAACCAACTATCAAACGCCCCTACCGGCTACCATCATTAATAAAAATGTCAAAAAGTAGTTGGCGCCTCAATTTTAGCTCATCAATTTAAATAAATTTCTTTTCAACCTCACACAGTTTAATTTCTCATTCGAGGTTGGCCGGACGTATTTAAATTTGATTAAATTTAAATCGTATTTCAAATTGAATTTTTTTTAGAGTAACTTACAAAAACAACTATAGTTATAGGGTTATTGAAGTTCAATTAGCTATAAGTATGTTATTTACCAAAAATGACTACAGTTTATGTCTATATCTAGCTATATTTTTTTATAAATTATTTATACAATGGTACATTTATAATTATAATGCACTAAATAAGATATTTTTAGATATGTTAAAAAGTTAAAATCACTCCTAAAAATCTGCCAGTTTGAATATGTAGTCTAAAGTGACAGTCTAACATTGTTTATTTTGAAAATTCAAAAAATAAAAACCGAAGATGCAAACTCTCTAAAAAAAAAAAGAAAAACGAGAACACTTGTATGTTGAAAAAATATATCTCAATATTATTATTATGCATATACATATGAATACAATTATGTAACAGTCAACTAGTCTTCTGTTATATTGTATTTTATACCTGCACTTGAATACAAACATACATGAATACAATATAACAGTCAGATAGACTTTATTTATATTGTATTTGAAATCTATATTTGAATACAGATACAAATGAATTTAAATTTATAACTATCAATCAACTGTAATTTATAATGTATTTGATACTTATATTTGAATACAAATATAGAGAAATACAATTATATAACTATTAATATGCTTTCATTTATAATGTATTTAGTACTTACATTTGAATATAAATACAAATGAATATATTTATGAATACATTATATATATGAATACAAACACATTTAAATTCATTTGTATCTGTATTTAAATACATCAATATATTTTGATGTATTGATGTATTTAAATACAAATACAAATGAATTTAAATACAAATAAACAGATGAATACAAATATTTATATTTGAATACAAAATACATATGAATATAAATTCATAACAAACATAGTGTTTTGATTCAAAATACGAATGAATACAAATACAAAGCAAAAGATGGTGCTTTGTTTGGTCTGCCATTAGAGTAAAAAGTTTTGGAGTTCCTTTTGGTTAATTCTAATTGAAACTGTAGAAATTGAATGACACGAACACACAGGGCCGGCTCTATGCTTTTAAAAATAAGGCCTTTGCCTTAGGCCCCCAAATTTCGGGGGCCCCAAATTTTTATCAAGAATAAATTATGTGTTAAAATTTTTATAGAAAAATTAATTATTTATGATAAAAAGTATAATTTTTTTAAAAATAAATTATTTTATCCACTTTAACATCTTTTGTACTTTGTTAAAAATAAGAATTAACAGTGAAAAGTGTTGAACAAAGTGAATTACAAATTCTTTTTTATTTCTTTTTAAATTTTAGTTTCAAGCATTACTCTAAGCATATTAAAATGAGGTATACCAAGTCATCAACTTTTTGAGTCAAATTCTATGATTCTAAGCTTCTAACTCTTATCTTTATTTAATATTTATCAACTTATTACTTATATCATTATGTAAACAATGCATATAATAATTGTCTCACTTAAAGGATGTTTATCAATGTTGTGTTGATAAAATCTTACCTAAAACTAGTAACTCAAAAAACAATATTAAGTACTAATAATTTTCATCTTAATAGTGTAATTTTTCTTTTTTGAATAAATACGTATATGAAGTGTATTTATATTTTAGGCCGCGAATTGAAATTTCACTTTAGGCCCCCAATTACGTTGAGCCGCCCCTGCAAACACACACACAAAAAGATTATCTCAAACTGCTTTCCATCATTGTAATGAAAAAAATCTTCAATTGAAACTCTATGAAAATAGATGAAACAGATGTATACAAATATAATCTTTATAAAAACAAGAAAAAATGCAATTAGAATATACTTAATGAAGATGAATCACAAAAATCACTCCTACAATCATGCAAAAGGATAGTGAATCGGAAGGATTTTTGAAAAAAAAAAATCGATGATATATGAATATTGAAAGAGAAAACATTGATGAGGATGAACATGGAAACCAACACCGTAAGACATGCCTAACATAACTGATTAGGCGTATACTAATTACTTTGCTATTTAATTTTTGTTAATATACATATAAAATTGAAAAGAAATGATTATTCATGTGTAGTAAATTAACTTTGCTATTTCATATTTAATTATATCCATATAATATAAAATAAGTAAATTATAGCTATTTATCTTAAATATATATTGATGTTTGCTATATTTTGTAGTTTTTCCTTTTTTTTATATCCATAATTCGAATTCGAGATCGGAAACACTCCGATCGCCGAACTACAACTCATATTATTGTACAAAATTGTTGGGAGGCTCACAATACGAACTCCGATTAAATCAATTAAATTGGAACTGAGAACATGGCTTCTTCCGATCAGCATCAATCGCCGGAAACCACCGATCTCCGACTGCTTATCTTCCATCGCTCTCCAAAATATGGAAATACGTTCTTGCCCAAACTAAAAACCCTGTACCGGGTACTCGACCCGCTTGACGAATCCGACCCATCACTTCTACCCCTTTCCGGGTCGGTTCGGATCATGCTCTGTATAGGTGCTACTCCGGTCACCTCGGACACCCTGGATAAGTACCCTAATTTGGAGTGCATCGTCGGTACTAGCGCTGGCTTTGACCATTTTGACCTCGCCGAGTGTCGCCGCCGTGGCATTCGCGTCACCACAGCTGGAGATTCGTTCTCCGATAATGTCGCTGATTTCGCCGTCGGCCTATTGATTGACGTCCTCCGCCGTGTCTCTGCTGCAGATCGATTTGTTCGTGCTGGCTCTTGGCCTATTAAAGGGAAATTCCCCCTCGGTTCTAAGGCCAGTTTTGTTAGTATAAAACATGCTCAATTGCTCATTATCACGAGATTCTATTCATTTTTACTTGTCACGTTTCACTTCTTGATTTACATTCTCGGGAGTCAATTCATTTTTGGTTTCCTACTTCTGGCGCCCCGAGAAGTCCACATTGAGGATAAAGTGTTTCCTAACAAAGTAACTCCGTATCTAGAAACTTCTTTTTTATATATTAAATTCCGTTCATTTTTACTTGTTATGTGAAGTCTCATATTGAGTGTAAAGTGCTCCCTAACAAAAATAACTTTATATCCAGAGCGACTCAAATCCGAGACCTTGGATTAAGAATGAAGGAGTCGAATTTGAAACCATTGATTAAGGATGGAGAGTATGTACCACTTCACCACAACCCTTGTTGGTACGAGAGTCAATTCAATTGACTTATATTTGGAGATAAGCTAATTTAGATTTTTTATAAGATAATTATTCTTAATATATTGGTCAAAGTCTATACAATTTGAGTTTGGAGAAGTGAAATGTCACAAGTAAAAGTGAACGGATAAAGTATGTATTAAAAATAGTTTCTTGATTTGTCCATTGCGTCTTAGGATTTGTTTTGATTAATGATCAAAGATTGAAACTTTAACAGTGTGTTACTCTCTTATTCTAAAAAGATTTAGGCACGTTAACAATGTTTTTCTTGGATTGTGAGCTGCTGATAATAATAATGAAAAAAAACATTTTAGTTTCTAAAGAAAGCATATATTTGCAAAATGTCAATTATCGTCTGTATGTTTTAAAATGTTTTCCCTATTATTCACAATGTCTTCGTTATTTTTGTTTTCTCCTTTTAAATCTGCTTTGATATGAGCTGACATCTTTTGAAAACAACCTTTCTACCGCAAGAGGTAAGGATAAGATCTTTGTATACTCCACGAGGTAAGGGTAAGGGTACGAATCGTTGGCACCAACCTAAATTCTGGTGATGCAATGTAGTAAAGAGCAATTTTTTTGTTTTTTTTCACAGGTTGGTGGAAAACGAGTGGGCATTGTAGGTTTAGGAAGCATTGGTTCGAGGATCAGTAAAAGACTTGAAGCCTTTGGTTGCAGCATTGCATACACTTCAAAGAGGATGAAGCCCAATGTTCCGTTTCGTTTCCATTCTAATATTCATGATCTTGCAATCAACAGTGATGTTCTAATCCTTTGTTGTTCTTTAACAAAAGAAACACACCACATAGTTGGCAAAGAGGTGCTAACTGCACTCGGGAAAGAAGGCATTGTTATAAATGTTGGACGCGGGGCACTCGTTGATGAGAAGGAATTGGTTCAGTTTCTGAAGAGAGGTGAGATTGGTGGTGCTGGTCTTGATGTTTATGAAAATGAACCTTATGTACCAAAAGATCTGTTTGTGTTGGATAACGCGGTGCTGTCTCCACATATTGCTGCTTCAACTCCAGAGTCTTTTGAAGCACTTGAAGAACTATTCACTTACAACATACAAGCTTTCTTTTCAAATAAACCCTTGCAGGCACAAATCGAATATGACTGATGAATTTTTCTGTTCAACATGTAGAGAAACATGCTGAACATGAGAAGATATGATGTATGTGTGTAAGAACAAATAATAGCTATTTCCCGAAAATAATTGTAGCGTTATTTTAACTCATGTCTAAGTTTTGATGATTGAACAAACTTTGGACCTGATTCCTGACGAGACTGAGAATTCCACACAGAAACACTACAGCTGTCCAAAAAGCCTGCTATGGTTGGTGTGCAGCTCCCACTGTCCAGCAGACCCTCAGCCAATGAGATTGTTTTGTGTGTTTGTGTTCATCCTATAATATGTCTGTTCTCCATTATCACACACAAGTTTTTGCAAAAAAACATTTCAAAAAGCAAAAGCCTCTCTCAACGGAATATTGCTCAAAAACAGTTGTAGGACTTGATAGCGTTATCTTTGTTCTTAGCTGTTGCTAGAGTTTGTATTTTCAGTGAGAACTCCTGGAAGATCTATTCCTAAGTTATAAAAAAAGTAGATCAGTTTTTCATATCAGAACACAACATAGATTAAGCGTGTAGATGACTTTTTAATATAAGTTCAGAAGGAAATTTTTGTCTTTTCCCTAAATTGGAACATGAATTGTCATGCTTGATGCCCATGTACATCTTCTTGTTTAAGCTGCAAACCACAAGAAATGTGAAAAGGCCCAAAAATAATTTCTTTACCTTATAATTAAGACTTAAAGTCATCTTTATTTTAGGGAAAAAAGATAAATATACCCCCGAACTATCGTAAATAATATGCAGATACTCTCCGTCATACTTTAGGGATATTGATGCCCCTATCATCCAAAAACTAGAGCATATATGCCCTTCACTCTAACGGAAGATTAAATAGGGACACGTGGCCCAATCTTATCCGTCGATCCAATGTTTAATAAATGTCGGTCGGTGGATAAGATTATGACACGTGTATGTCCATTAGTAAAAAGGGTATATATGCTCTAATTTTTGGACGGCATGAGCATCAATGTCCCAAAAGTATGACGGAAGATATCTACATACCATTTATGATAGTTCGGAGGTATATTTTTCTTTTTTTCCTTTATTTTATATAAAGTATTACATAGTCCCTTAAATATTGATGTACTTTTGATGTTTTCCCAAATTTCCACCTATTTTTTAATATTAATTATGTCCACAATTTTATTGATGGATTGCTCAATGTCTCTTTTTTATTTATTTATTTATGTTTAGTGGAGATAATAATTGGAAAAAGTGAGATCTTATTTTGTTCAGGCTGCTAAACTAAAAACCTACATGAACTTTATTCAACTATATCAATTTATTATTGACATATAACATTGCAAAAAATTTATACTATTATACGTGAAATTGATGTGATTGAAACTTTTGATTTAAATAAAAAAATAAAAGAATTTTACACAAATCTCAGTGTTAAGACCTAATTACATCTTATCTCTATTTTTTTTTCAAATTATAAAAATCCCTTAAATTTGATGGAATCTGAATACATCCTAAAACGTTCCAATATATCGCATCCCGATTATGGTTACATCTCTCAACGCCTCGATACATTGCGTCTCGATTTCGGATACATTTCTCAATGTCCTGATACATTGTCTAAAGTGATGTATATCACGTAAATGTATTCGAGAACAGAAGTTTTTACGGAAAAAGATCAAAATTACCCCTGAACTATGTGAAATAAATCACTTATACCCTTGGTTACATTTTGGGATAAAAAATGCCCCTACTGTTATCCTAAGAGACCACAAATATCCTCAAGAGTTAACACCCCAAATTTTTATTGACGTGGCAAGCCACGTGGGACTAATCCTTCCACCTAAGCGTTGTTAACTAGGATTCATCACAATAAAACTAGACCTTTAGCGGCGACAACAGTCGCCACAAAAGCCTAGAAACTTGTCACTAAAACTTTTAAACATTAAATTCTAATTTTGTGTTTTTTTCTTCGTTGTTTTTTTAAAAAATCAAAAATGATATCGATTAAGTAGGAGTTTGAAGACACTGTATGTTTATTTTTATGTCATATGTAAATATATAAAATGTACAATGATGCATTATATAGTAGGAGATTTGAATCGAAAAGTAATTTTGATGATTTTCGTAATAATATTGGATGTTTTAAATATTGATATTGCAAGTTATTATTTTAGAAAATTAGGTTGCAATCGAAAATTAATTATCATATTTTTTTGTTGGAAAAATAAGTTTTATTAGCGAATAGTTGTTGGAGCCTTAGTCGTCACTAAAAATCACTCATAACCTTTAGTGACAATACTTTGGGATTTTGTGGCGGCTTTGTTGCCACTAAATGTCAAGTTCTTTTGTAGTGAATCTTAGTTGGTAATGCTTAGGTGGAGGGATTAGTCTCATGCCACATCATTAAAAATTTGGAATGTTAACTCTTGAGGACATATGTGGTCTATTTCGCATAGTTCAGGAGCAATTTGGACCCTTTTCTAAAAAAAATATGATTTTTTAAAATAATAGAAAATTTTAGAAATTATGTTATATTAATTGTATATTTAGGTAATTTTTCCGGGGGGAAAAAAGAGACAAGTTTTGGCAAAGGTTTTATCCATTTGAGTTAGGTTTATAACATATCATTGGTTGGATCTGAAAATTTGATCAGTAATTCAATACGCACTCCAAGAAAATTAGAACATGGCTTCTTCCGATCAGCATCAATCGCCGGAAACTACCAATCTCCAGCTAGTTCTCGTCCATCGCTATCCGAGATTTGGAAATTCGTTCTTATCCAAACTCCAAACCCGGTACCGGGTTTTCGACCCGGTTGACGAATCCGACCCATCACTTCTACCCCTTTCCGGCTCGGTTCGGGTCATGCTCTGTCTTGGTCCTACTCCGGTCACTTCGGAGACCCTGGATAAGTACCCTAATTTGGAGTGCATCGTGGGTACTAGCGCCGGATATGACCATTTTGACCTCGCCGAGTGTCGCCGCCGTGGCATCCGCATCACTGGCGCCGGAGATTCGTTCTCCGAGGATGCCGCTGACTTGGCCGTCGGCCTATTGATTGACGTCCTCCGTCGTGTATCTGCTGCAGACCGTTTTGTTCGTGCTGGCTCTTGGCCTGTTAAAGGAATATTCCCCCTCGGTTCTAAGGTCAATTTTGTTCTAAAACATGTTCATATTACTAGATTCTGTTTATTTTTTATGCACTTTTACTCGTCTCGTTTCACTTCGAATCAATTTGACTGATATATTGAGATAAACTAATTTTGATTAATTCAACATTTTAAATCAAACTATAAAAAAAAATATCATACATTGTAATTCTTTTTATATTATTATGATGAAAATATACATTTAAGGTCATACAGTTTGACTCTCGTGATCTGAAAACAGATGGAATATGCATTAAAGATAGCTTCTTGATTTGTCCAATGCCTCTTATGATTTGTTTTGATTAATGATCAAAGATTGAAACTTTTCAAAAGAAGAAACTTGGAACAATTGGACCAAGTGCCTTTCGGAAACAATTTCTCTCTACCTTCACGAGTTAAAGGTAAGGTCATTGTATACTCTACTTTCTCCAAACTCCACCTATAGGATTTCACTAAGTATTTTTCATTTGAAGTCTTGCTTCACTTTGTTGACTTCTTAATTTAGCAAGTTGTTTGTTCCTCAATGAATTGTTGGCACCAATCTTAAGTTCGTTCTCCACCTATTATAGTTGAATGTCGTTTTGGAAGAGTCTATACAAAGAGTAAATATAGAGGGGACAAAGTTTTCATCTTAAGTAGAAAAAATACATTCTTGTATATGGTTTCTATGTCATTTTACAGAAGTGCTACTGAAGCCGGTAAAGGAGTTGTGGGAACTGGCAAGATGACATTGTACTTAACATGTATTTTTACACAGGTTGGTGGAAAGCGAGTGGGCATTGTAGGTTTAGGGAGCATTGGTTCGAGGATTGGTAAAAGACTTGAGGCGTTTGGCTGCAGCATTGCATACACCTCAAAGAGGATGAAGCCCAATGTTTCGTTTCCTTTCCATTCTAATATTCATGATCTTGCAATCAACAGTGATGTTCTAATTCTTTGTTGTGCTTTAACAAAAGAAACACACCACATAGTTGGCAAAGAAGTGCTGACTGCCCTTGGGAAGGAAGGTATTGTCATAAATGTTGGACGAGGGGCACTCATTGATGAGGAGGAATTGGTTCAGTTTCTGAAGAGAGGTGAGATTGGCGGTGCTGGTCTTGATGTTTATGAAAATGAACCTCATGTACCAAAAGAATTGTTTGGGTTGGATAATGTGGTGCTGTCTCCACATGCTGCTGTTGTAACTCCAGAGTCTTTTAATGCACTTGAAGAGCTATTCACTTACAACTTAGAAGCTTTCTTTTCAAATAAACCCTTGCGGGCACAAATTGAATGTGAATGATGAAATTTTCTGTTCAACATGTAAGCATACATTCTTTTACTGCTGTGATCAACTTCATTAAGTTTCTGCACCAAGTTGAGGGTCACTTTACTCTCCAACAAAACATGCTGAACATGAAAAGATATGATGTGTGCGTATTTGAACAAATGATAGTTATTTCGCTAAAATAATTGTGTTTTTATTGATGAAAGAATCCACAGGGTGTTGTGTTGCTCATATACAAAGGGGTGATATTGCTTGAAATTTTGTTGATATGCTTATTAAATAAAGACACCGCAGAGGACACAAAATAGGGGATCAACAAATAAACAACCATCGGAGTATGACAACCAAGAGAAATTATTTAGATTCTTTAGCAGGAACATCCTTGAGGACTTTATGCTCAGTAACAACATCCTGATCATCCTTCTTGAAAACTTTGAGCTCAGCAACTGCATCCTGCTCGTCCTCCTTGAGAACTTTGCGCTCAGCAACAACATCCTGATCAACCTTCTTGAAGGCTTTCTGTTCAACAGCAGAATCCTGTTTGTCCTCCTTGAGGACTATGTGCTCCACAATAATATCGCGATCATCCTTTTCGGAGGCTTTGTGTACAGCAGCAGAATCCTGATCATCCTTCTTGAATACTTTCTGTTCAGCAGCAGCATCGTTATCATCCTTCTTGAAAAGCTTGTGTGCCATATGCTGTGCAAAGGTGCGAGGTGGGAATTGAGATGGCTCAGCCTCGGTGACAGTCTCAGGTAGGGGCTGAAGCATAATCTTCTCCTTTGGAGGCTCACAGAAAATAGCCCATGAAATCCTTACTTTCTCTTTGTTCACAACCCCTCTGTGAAGAATGCTCTTGTACTTTCCATTGCTTAGGATTTCAATGGTATCCCCAATGTGCATAATTATGGAATTAGGCACACACTTTGCAGTTACCCACTTCCCTTCATAAAAGAGTTGCAAGCCAGGCACCATATTGTGGAGGATGAAAGTCAGTGCACTCACATCAGTATGAGCTTCAACGCCAAGTGCTAGTTCTGGTTGGGGACATTTGGGGTAGTAGTTAATCTTCATTTGAAGCAGCAGGTCTTCCATGCCTCCAACTTCCTTTTCTAGTCTTCCTTCTTCCAATCCCAACCCAATCGAAAGCACTGCAAAAATCTTTGTTGCTAGGTTCCTGATCTGCTTGGCATATTCACTTGTTACTGGACTGCAAAACAGAAATGTTTAGCTTAAGGAATCTTAGTAGCTCAGTTGGTTATCTACCTTCACCTTCACCTATGTTGGTGGAGGTAGTAGGCCTCGGTTGATTAGTCGAGGCAACACGCAAGCGAGCCCGGACACCACCATTGTCAAAAAAGAGAAGATTGAAAACTCTGCAATCATGAAACTATGTAAAGAAGCTTACATGTAGTCAGCAGGGGTTTTAGGCCAGATCGCCAAGTCGCGCTTGTCCTCGGGGAAAACACAATGAAAGAAGTAATCCTCCCACTCAAGCTGACCACAAGCACTATTTGCTAGCTTGCTGCCATAGCCTTGGACATTACCAGAAGCTTGATCATTAGCATACTTCTCCTTCTCTTCAACAGGTAGATCAAAAAAAGTACCTCCAGCAACCTTGACACGATCTATTAACTCATCCGATATCCCATGGTTAACGAGGTGCATTACACCCCACTCCACAGCTGCTTTCTTCAACTCCTGGTGGCATTTTTCGCGAATTTCCTTGTCCTCTGAGTCAATTTCTTTTAGATTAATTGTCGGTACTTGAGGTCCTTCATCTTTCTTCTCATCCTCAAAGATGTTTCCTATACCATTTAACTCTTCTTGTGGCCTCACATACTCTTTAGGAATGACTTGGATTCCACTTTTAGCCAAGCTTTCAACTCTTGAAGGAATTGGAACCACTTCACTCACCATCTCTATAAAACGCGGAGTACTTATTTAGAAGTAGACTGAATACTATCTCAATCTCGAAAAATAGAAGTACAAGCAATAAGAATAAAAAATAATTCCCTTGTTTTTTTTTTTTAATTTCTTCCCCTTTATGGTTGATCTTGTTGAGGTTTATATTGTGGATGCCAAAATAGGTAGGTTATGTTATTTTGAATGGAAGATAAAGCTTAAACATTCAACAACCATGCATGCACGTGACTCATAGCTAACCTTTTTTTTTTTGTTTTGGTTATGTTAAGGTTTTCAGTTTTTAGTTTTTAGTTTTACCTAAAAATAGGAATGGTGGTTGGCACACAATTTTATGATGTTATAGGTGGAAACAAATGACTGGTGGCTGGATCCATTTTTTACATATATGTTTTAGTTTGGTTATATTACTTAAAAATGATATTTAACTATCTTAATCATAAAGAGTTTTTGTCTAAACTGTTTTTTGACTGTTCTTATACATCTCATTTAATTGATAATCCACTAATTGTGGAATTGTAAAGGTAGATTTGGGCACCCAGGTGTGGGCTAGTGATCAATGAAGTAAGTTGGAACTTACGGGGTTTCGTGTTTGAATTTCACTACACGCAAAAATACTAGGTGATTGATTGTTATATGTCTAACTGTTGATGAATAGAAATATTTGATATTTGTGCTAGTCGGAGGTAGCAGGTATTCCACAAAAGTTTTTCATACTTTATGTGTATGTAAGTTTTAAGTTCAACCACCAATAAATGTAGTGCAATGAATGGGTTGTTCCAGGGGCGGCTCAACATAATACGAAGCCTAAAGCGAAATTTTAATTAGAGGCCTAAAATTTAAATAAATTTCATCCATATTTATTTATTTTTCTAAATTTTTTATGTAAATTATTACTTAATATCTTTTTTATAAATGATTTTTTCAAATAATTTTTTTTATTTTTAGGTAAGATTTTATCAATCAACATTGACAAACATCATTTTATTGAGATAATTATTATATGAATCGATAACATAGTTCTATAAGTAATAAGTTGATAAATTTTAAATATAGATAAGAGTTAGAATCATAGAATCTGATTCAAAAAGTTGATAACTTGGTATATCCTACTTTAATATGAAAAGTTACGAAGAAATAAAAAAATATTTGTAATTTACTTTATTAAACACTTTTCGGCTATTGATTCATTTTTGACATAGTATTACTCTAACTATCAAAAATTTGAACAAATAGAGTGCAGAAGGAATTAAAAAAGGATAAATAATGTGAGTGCTAGCAAAATAAAAAATAATAATAATAAAATAAAAAAAATATATATATATATATACTTTTTACTATAAATAATTAAATTTTTTTCATAAAAAAAGTAAACATGATTTTTATTTTTAGAAATTTGAGGCCCCCAAAAATTGGGGGCTAAGGCATTGGCCTTAAAATTTATAGGGAAGAGCCGGCACTGGGTTGTTCCTCCCTTAACCAGAGGTCCCGACTTTGAATCCTCAGTATGGAAATTTTTTTTAATAGGAAGCGCTTCCTTTCGAATGGGGATGCATCATAAATCTGAATTAGCCGAGCTCTAATATATGAATTAGTCGGGTTCTAATATATGTACCGGACATCGAATGGAACAAAAAAAAGTCTTTTAAGTTCAAAAGAGGAAAACTTATTATACATCATGGAAATGGCACTTTGAAAGACAAATAAACATATTGAGCAAAAGTTTAGGTTCTAAATTCTCTTCAATAAATGATGTTCACCTAAACTATGGACCTATGTTTTAGTGTTCTAACAAATAAGTCTTTGACAACATAAAACCCAAACTTTTGAAATACTAAAATAGTGGTTTAATATTTGATAAGATTGTATAAAAGTAGTTAAAAATTATAGTCTATTCTTCAATAAATAACTGAGATTTCTTATTATAGTACATGTACTGGTAGCTAGAAATTTAGAATCATCTTTATTCTAAACTGTCAAATCTAGCATTTCTATTACATAATGGTTTACTAGATTAATATTTTTAGAAAATTCTGTTGGAGTATTAATTATTAGACAAAAATTAGATGCGACTTTGTGTAATCATATATTATTAAAAGTGGGAGGCTAAAATTTCAAAGTTGAATTACTCTTTTACCCTTTTACTAAATAAAAATATTTAATAAATAAAAATATCTAACCTAATTAGTAGTAATATTTAAATTGTTACAGCACCCTAATGTAATAAATAAAATATCTACTCTAATTAAATAGGAGTAATATTTTAATTATCACACAATTACAGCAGCCTATATTCAATGTTTTGGAATTGCTTGCTTTTTCATCTTCCTAAAATTGTCCTCTATTCAATATTTTGGTTTAGTTTCAACTCCCTTAACTTATTTTTCAATTTTTTATACCAATTTAATGTCTTGGTATTATACTTTAACATGCATTGAAGTAAATCAAAATGACCCTTTTGAATTTACGCAATAAGCCTCTTCATTGCTAAATAAATAGAAGAATTGAAAGAGTTGCATTGAGCAATTAAATGTAGACTAATTATTAACTAGAAATAATAAATATATGAATAAAAAAGTTCAAGGAATGCACATCAGAAAAGATCTATAAAAAGGCAAAATTATATGAATAATTAAATTTACATTATTACAAAATGTATTGTTGTTTCGTTTTGCCACTATTTCATGAATATATACATTTAAGTCACCTTCTTATGAGTTATGGGATATTTTTACCCCTATCTACACACTACTTTTTCAGAATATTTTTATACTATCAATCAAATAATACATTTACCTTTTAATAATAAATCAATAAATTGTGAAACATTAATGTGAAGTTCATGAATCTGTCAAGCCCTTAGTGTAGTTTATCTTTTACTATATAATTATATGCACTTATCCCATTAATTTTAAATTTGTTAATTCTTTTAATTTTCATCCGTTAGAAAACTTTTCATGTACTCTATTAAGTTTTATATAATGCACATAACATTTTTGGAAAAAGTATAGGATGCAGTTTCAATTGATTTGCACAGTAATTTAGGTAAGTGTATTGTTATTCAAATTATATCATGTAATTGAAAGCTAGAGATTTTTCTAGCCGATTGCAGATTTGAGGTAGCAATAAGTGATGCAGTTCTTGTCAAAGAACCATTTTGTGGTAGTTTACCTCCCAGGTGATGTTGATTAATTAGTTAAAATTGTTGTCTTTATGTTGTTAATCTTTAATTTGAGTTAACACTTTAATATGTAATTGCATGGATTACTATAGAAAAAAAAAGTTATATATGAGATTATATACTTTAGAGGTTTAATTAATCCAAAATTTGAAGTTATTTGTCTAATGTGGTGTTGCAATGCATGAAACACTTTAATAGCTTGTCATGTTACATTTGATATAATATATATACAATTTTACTAATTATTTATGTTAAATTCAAAGATGAAATGACTCGGAAGTTTAAATCAGACAAAAGGTAATCTTTCCTTTCAAAATTCATATAACTCATTGCACATTTAATCTAATTTTTTTTTTAAATACTTAGCGTGAAATATACGTGCAACGCACGTGTTCGAGAACTAGTATAAAAAAATGTAGCTAAGTTGATTAATATAGAAGATTATAGCATTCAATTTTTTTGATAGATTCAGGTTCGGTCGATTTTTTTAAAAAAAATATTATATCAGTATCATATCAAATTAAATTCAGTACGGTTATATAAAAAAAATACTCCCATTTGGATTCAGTAAAAATATCAAAAGAAAACAATTCCTTATAAATATAGGAAAAGGATCTGAAAAATATTCCAATTTTGGCTTAAATTGTTGTTACGATACCAAACTTTAAGGAGGACCTTTTACCCATATGCACTATTTAATAGTGTATTTTAAAGGTATATATATGTCCATGTGGACATATTACTATTTATAATGATGCAATATTTATGATGTTCACGTGGTCACATATATATCTTTAAAATACACTATTAAATAGTGCAGAGGGGTAGAAGGTTCTTTCCAAAGTTCGATATTATTACAACAATTTCGATCAAAATTTGGATATATTTCATACATTTTCCCTATAAAAATCAAACTCTGTGGAATGCACTTAAAAGAACATCTTATCTTCGAAACTAATTGTAGAATACTTTATGAAGATAGTCAAAAATAGCTTTATGACTCAATTATCTAATACAAAATCAGAAAATAGAATTAGTAATAGATGTGAACATGTTAATAAACTATGTTGTAACTAGATTTTAGCCTCCCTATAAAGCTTAAGTTCCTTTTACCATTTGAGTAACATCACAAAAAAAATGGAGAAAATAATAATTCTAATTTTTTCTTTTGGTTTTTTTTTTTTTTCTCAATTTATGGCCGCTGAGAAATACCCTCCTTGTTTCAAATGTGATTGCTCTGGTGACGATTGTAGAAGACCAGGAGAAACGGTGCCGTATGAGTGGCCGGAGTTAATCGGAGTTGAGATCATGAAAGCTAAAGTCACAATAGAAAATACTAATCCTAATGTTACTGCTGTCCCAATGGCGGATTGTGAGTGTATTCATACTTCCCAATTGTGTTGTAATCGTGTCTGGTTATGTCCCGATAAAAAAGGTCTTGTTAGGCTAAAGCCAATAGTTGGATAATAAATATCCTTAGAGGGATAAGTCAAGTTATTTTTATTTGAAAATTATTGCTAGTAAAATGGAACATTAATTATCAGTCTTGTTCCATTTTGGTTATCACTTTTTCTTTTCATTCTGAATTTTATTTATCAGTCTTTTTTTTTTTTTAAAAACAATAATTTTATTTGAAACGACTTAGTAAAATGATAGTTGTCATCTAATAAAAGTAATTTCACACCCAGAAAGATATACTGCATAGAAGGGGTAACAGGTACTCCTAATAAAAATAATTTTACATGTAATAAAATTTAAGACCTCAATTTATTTTTTTTAAAAAAAACTTCCTCCAAGTTTTTTGTTATTTTTATTCTCTCAAAAAGTGAGCATGAAAGCTCAAATTTGCTCTAAAACGGATTGTTTCAAATGTTTCTTAAAATTCTTGTTTTTTTATAATTATATGAAAAATCAGTATGAATATAACTTAGATGTCCAACAAGATATTCATGCATGACTTCTTGAAGGATTTTTCATATAATTAATTTTTTTTTTCTCAAATTTTACTTATAACAACTCCTATATTCAAACTTATAAAATTGCGACTTTTAGAAAGTTAATCGCTTAATTCGAAAGACGAGATAAAGAACCAGAATATAGCTGGATGGATAAATCCCACGTGACAAACACATGAACAAGCCAAGCCTCCATGTGTCAAGCAATTGTAGGATCCTAGATTCTGGTGTTCAACCACAGGAAGGCTGACGTGGCAGATCATGTAACATCAATAACTCAAGAGAGTTCTCATTAGAGATCTCGAGTATCGTGGATGAGACGGTTCCTTCATTAGAGTTCTCGAGTTCGAGTCATAAATATGAAAAAGTTCTTCATAAGAAATAGTTTCATTTGAATGAGATTCTACACAATGTGAATTCAAATTAATCTTTCTAATGGAATCCGAACACCAATGAAAAAACAAAAAGATTTTGTTGATTAAGTTTAAATAAAGACAGAAAAAATTAATTTCCCTCCACACATTAACCTTATCTTGAATTCCTCTCGTTTGTTGCCACTCTTTCCTTTCCCCTCTCCACCATAACCATCACATTCAAGATTTTTTCCCACAATGCATCATTTTTCTCTTAAATTTACTCCCTTTAAGTTTCTTCACATTTGCTGCCACCTCTATCAAGAACAAGAATGGCCACCAAACTTGGATTCAGTATAACAAGCTCTAAACTTTTTCATGCCCCTTTTAAAAGACCAATCTTTTCTGCTTCTTCTTCACCAAGGCTCCCATTGATCCCTTTTGGTGTCAGTAGAAAGTTGTCTATTAGAAGAAAGTTGTTGATTCTTTCCCCTAAGGCTGCTGCTGACCAGCCAGGTTAGTTAGGGCTTTAAAGTTTTCATCTTTGGTTTTATTTACTGTGATTTGTGGATAATCTTGATGGGGTATCAAATTCTTTAGTTCTATTTTAGAGAAAGTGGTAAAAGATTTGATTTTTATCCATTATTGTACTTTGGGGTTCAGTCATAGCCTTTGAGAATTTGTTAACTGTTAGTGAATGGTTGTATTTGTCATTGATCTTATGGGAGCTTCAACTCTAACTTCAAGTATTAAAGAAATTAATTTTAAGGCATAGTGAAAAGTAAAGGTGTAATTTTGGACCTTTTTCCTGGACATGTGGAATTCATTTAGTTCATCTTGGAGCTTTGTTTAAGTTCTAAGTGTAAATACAAGATTATTTGCTAATAGCAAGGGTATGGTTCGAGCAAGTATAACGAAGGATAAAGTAGGATATTTCGTGCAGTACAGGGGAGATTTTCTGAGTTGATGATTGTCTGGAAGGATTGTTCAGTTGGTAGATGCTTCGTATTGCTTAGGGAATCTAGGATTCAATCCAAGTTCAAATACTTTAGCTGTTATAGATGGTAGTACTCTTGCAATCACTTGTTATAGATGGTAGTACTCTGCTGCACCTCAGAAAAGTAAACTTTTTCTATGATCAATATGGCGAGGCAAGGTTGTTGCAAGGAAAAGTGATTCACTGTCAACTACCTTACTAACAGGAGTAAACAAAATCGATGACAGTGCCTAAACATGTTCAACCAAATTCTCCATTTCATGGTTCCCATACCATGTTATGTTCATGAAACCTCATTTTTTTGCTTTCAGGTCAGGTCAAAGAGGAAGTGGAAGAGGACACTAAAATTTTGCAGTATTGTAGTCTTGACAGGAAAGAAAAGAAATCTATGGGTGAAATGGAACAAGAGTTTCTCCAAGCACTACAAGTAATGAAGCAAATATTTTCTATTCATTCCCTGGATTTTATATTGTTATGATGATTGAGGCTTGTGTATGCGGTTTATCTTACCGCTTTTGATTGTTCTTCTTCATTTCTTCGTTTGGTTCCCCTTTCTAACGAACAGAATGTCTTTGTCTTGGTTGTGTACCACAGTCATTCTATTATGAAGGAAAGGCCATAATGTCGAATGAGGAATTTGATAACCTCAAAGAAGAACTAATGTGGGAAGGGAGCAGCGTTGTCATGCTAAGTATAGAACAATTTCATTTAATCATCTAAACTCTTACAATATGGTCTCTGTATGTCTTCGATATGGTCCCTTGACGGCAAGTCTTCTCAATGTAGGTGCCGATGAACAGAGATTTTTGGAAGCTTCTATGGCTTATGTATCTGGGAATCCGATTTTGACAGATCAAGAGTTTGACAAGCTGAAGTTGAAACTTAAGGTTCTTGGCCATTGCTCAATCATATTCATATATTAATGTTTGATATACAATACAACAGAAAAGTATAGCTTGGTACCGAATGTTATTATAAAGAATCTCTTTATGTTACTTGCAAAAACGAATACACCAGAAAAATAAGAGCAACGTAATTGGTATTTCGAACTGAAGTGACTGATTACATTGTATAAGCTCAGATTATGGAATATCAACAATTATCTGGACTTTCTTTAGGTATCAGGTTGTTTTTGTGTTTGGCCAATAACTAATACGGGATTATTCTATTATCACAATAAAGGCTATTCTTCTATTTATTATCCCTGTGAACATGGTCCATGGACATACCAAATATTCTTTGCTACTTTTCTTTCTTGTTCGCTTATGCATTGTCTTTTTGAAAATTATCTCATTCTTCTGCCATTTTCAAACTTTTCTTGTTTTGTTTCTCTTAATTTCTAGATGGATGGCAGTGAAATTGTGGTTGAGGGTCCACGATGCAGTCTCCGTAGTAGAAAGGTTTGTCCTATCAGTTTTTCCATTTGCACTACGATGACATGCTACATTATTTCCATTGCGTGTCCTCATAATATGCCTTTGATCGAACTTACTTCCCACAGGTTTACAGTGACCTTTATATTGATTATCTGAAGATGTTCTTGCTAAATGTCCCTGCAGCTGTTGTTGCGCTTGGATTGTGAGTAGCATTTCTTTGTCTCTCGATATTTAACTTCACAATTGCATTGTTTGCATAGTTTCAAGCAACAAAAAATGTTCGGTCCATTTCAAAAAATGATTGTAGCATTTAAAGTCTTCACCAAAAATATTTACTGTTGAGCTTTTAAGAAGTAAGAGAAGGAGAAATCTTGTGTTAGAGAGTTTGGAGGTCGGTTTTTTCTCTCTTTTGTGTTTATATTATCAAATAGACATTTCTCTTGCCTATCGGAACACCAACTAAATCTTGAAAGAGGAAGTGGGTTTGGGGAATGGAAGACAAGAACATCTTCTTTACCACAAAAAATGGTAACATAAGACCCTTCTTTGCTCATGCTTGGCATCTCCTCGTGAATACCGTCTAGTCAAGTCTTTGCTTCGGATATTTCTTGTTTTATCCTCTTTCGTGTGAAAGTATTTGGTATAAAGAACCCTCAATAACTTGCTTGTCCTGTCCGCAATAACTGAGGATAGAGGGAGTTTCAACTCGGCCTTATTTCATGGGCACGGAATAAAAAATGTGACAATGAAAGTAAAGAAGAAACACAGCAAAAAGAAGGATAACTAGCTCTCTCTAAAAGTTTTTTCAGTCTGACCCTAATGTTTCCATCAATTTTATAAATTCATTCTTACAACTTTCATGTTTATATCTTGAATTCTTGATGATTTTCAGTCTCTGTAAAAACTGGAAAGGTAACAAGATAGCTCATTTGTATTTGTACTCTTTGCTCATAAAGCAACATTCCAATTTTTCTTTAATATGATTTATTTGGTTGCTGTATTACAGGTTTTTTTTCCTCGATGATTTAACTGGATTTGAGATCACTTATCTTTTGGAGGTATATCATTCACTTGCCTAGTTCTTCACTTTTTCTCCCTAGTCAAAGTGATTAAGTGCAAAATATTCTGCACTAGCTTGGTCAAAACTTGTTGGCAATGTTCATTAGCTTAAGCAAAAAGACATGTAGTTTGAAGATCTCAAAGCATGAGCCAATACTAACATGGGTGGTGAATCCGGATGGATTTATAGTAGAGAATGTCTCGAAATAGATTAATCAAGGCAGTATATGGTAAGTTAGGAGTTCAAACTAGTTTCTCGAAAGGATTTGAAGTAAGAGTGGTGTTTGTAATTACGCCTAATCTTTTTGAGAGGTGTTAATAATTGCTACACTTCTGTGCAAAATCTGCATATGTGGTAATGTTGATTAACCTTAGTTTCATCCATATGACCACAATTGATCTTCATTGTTCTGCACTTACCAATTTTAGTAATTTAGTCATTGTTGCATATGCATGCAAAGGAAAATGAAGTATGCTTGTACCTGTGTTTTTGTCTCGGGGTGCCAGTTCCGATATCATGCGTGTTTGTGAATCATAAGACCATATCTTGGCAAGCTTATTTGGTGACAAGAAACTCATATGCACATGTTGAAAATTTAAACTCAACTAGTTCCTTATACGTGTTTCTGCTCGTCTTTCTTTGGGAAAACTAACTGTGGTTCATTTTTTTGCAGCTTCCAGAGCCATTCAGCTTCATTTTCGTGTGGTTTGCTGCATTGCCCTTCATATTGTGGCTATCCTTTACATTTACAAACATTATCGTCAAAGATTTTCTGATCTTAAAGGTATAAAAGTTCATAAACGTTCTGTATGATGATGTAAAGGTTGTATCTAGTTGATGTTGATGCATGATAAACTTAAATTTCAGGGGCCCTGTCCGAATTGTGGAACAGATAACACTTCCTTCTTCGGTACCATATTATCTGTGTCTAGTGGAGGTAAAACCAACAAAGTGAAATGCACAAAGTAAGTCCAAAAGTGTCGACGTCTTCTAAGGTTATTCCATCATCATTCTCTAGTTGATTTATATCTCCATAATCTAACCGTTGATATAATTTTCTCAGTTGTGCTACGGAGATGATCTATGATTCAGCCACACGCTTAATCACATTGCCGGAAGGAAGTAGCGCATGAAATCTAGGTACTTATACTATTCTATTATTTCTCAAGGAAGAAAGAAAAGACGCTTATGTTATGTTATGTTAAAGGAAAATGAACCTTGGACCTAACGCAACATATAGAAGAGATGCTTATTTTAGTGAAATTTTCGCCCATTCTCCCTATTCCGGACTACTTTTGGTAAATGATCATCTTTTAATTTCTCTTGCAACTTATAGACCTCTTAAACTACAGTCTGATCCTTGTTGAGCAAACTCAAAATCTTATGAGAAAACATTAGACCACTGTCTAAAACCTTGGAAAATTGCAAACGTTTATGATAATGTGATGCTTCGTCTGTAAGGTGAAGCAGTATATGAGCAAACATTAGACAATGAGCCTAACATTGTTCGGAAGGGTAATATTTAAGGGCTAAAATCGAAATAGTGGTCTAGAAGAGGGACATTTGCATAAATCCACCTTTACTCATGTATAGAATTATGCTCTTTTTGTGTGGAGACAAGTTTAAACTGATCAACCATGATGGTGACTGACCTTTTGAGTCGAGGATCTATCGGAAACAGTCTCTCTACTCCGATAAAGGTAGTTGTTGTTGTTGTAACTGACAACTTTAGTTGTAAATGCAGGGTGAAATGTGTGTGAGACATCTGCAAAGAGAATGCACTAACACCAGTTTGCATGGGAGATAAATCATATCAATATGTACATGATGAGAGCAATTTGTAAAAATAAAAAACCATTTCTTATGTTAAATGGTGGATGCTTTGCAATTTGCAGTGTGTCAATATGTAGTTAAAGTAATGTATGTATATACCATAGGCTAAAAATTTAACAAATTTTAAGCAAAGGGGAGATTATGAATGTTTTGATTTAGATTATCAAATATCCTCAATAGAGTTGGATCCTATCTTCAGCTTTACTTGATGTTTTATTGAATGCCTCATAATTAATAACAAAAATTCAAACAAGGGGATTCAAAAAATAATATAATAATAATGTCACGAAGGGGATTTGACCTAGTGACTTATAACAATTTATGAACCTCCTTTGGCTCAGCTAGGGGTGTTCATGATTCGGTTTGAGTCGTCAGTCGATTATGGGGTAAAATCAAAACTAAATCAAATACACTACTAGTTGGACATTTTAATAGAAGTAATTTTTAGTAGAGATATAATTCATATCCATCAAGTTAATTCTATTTTTAAGAAACATAATGATATTTCTCTTTTTAAATTTTTTTCCTACCATTTGAAAGAAAAAAAAAAAAATCATTTTTTTTTTTTTGGGTTGTTAAAAGCCCAATTCAGTTGCACTAATTATGAAATTGTACTGATTTTCCTGCCCATATTCTGCTTGACACGTAACCATGCATAACTCTATCCTCCTTTTACTATTTTTTATTATCAACTATTCCTTCCGAATCTTCAAAATTTCTTAAAGTTATTTAATTTGTCAAAAGAGAGACACAATACATGCAATTAATCATTACAAAATTCTGAGAACTTAGAATCAAGTTTAAGTTCAATGTTAGCCTACATTCTTAGAACATCTCTAATACTCTCTCCGTTTCAATTTATCTGTCCTATTTTCCTTTTCAGTCCGTTTAAAAAAAAGAATATTTCTTTTTTTTTAAATTCTTTAATTTCAACTTTCTACGGATTCGATCGAACCAGTCATTGAATATTTAGAAACTATTAGCTTAAAAGAATCAGAATTCTAAACCCATAAACTTTAAATTCTAGCTCTGCATCTGCATTACACGTTTAAGATCAGAAGATTAAAAGAAATTTTGATACATTTTATATATTTTAGTTTAAGACTACAAGATTCAAAAATACGTATTCTTTATTTTCTTAAATTCCGTGCGTGCTATAGTCAAAATCAGACAAATAAATTAAAACGAAGGAAATATATTATTAAGAAAAAATCAATCTTGAAAACAGTACGGCGGGCTAAGCATCAATGTACCACATAACTTGCTTGCACGTTATAAAAAAAAACAAATGTAACAAACCTTGTAGTTTTGATTACGTGTTACAATTAAGATAAAATAATTTTTAGAACAAAGCATTTGACTTATAATTTATATTTTATTTTTATAAAACAATTGACTTAATATCCCTAAAATGTTCGTGGGGGCACGAAGGTTACAATATTTTAATTATAATATCCCTTAGACACAAACTATAAAAGGACCAAATTTATATGTCAATTTCATCAAACAAAATTGTCTTTTAAGTGTAACATTTTCATTCCTTAGAAAGAAAAAAAAAACATGGCATCTTTTAATTGCAAATTGAGTTTGATTTTCTTGATCATTGTGTCAATGGCATTTTTTCATCAAGCTATGGCTGATGCCTATTATTCCACCCCCACCATTAGCCCCACTACGTTTAAAGCCATGCCTTGGAAACAAGCTTTTGCCACATTTTACGGAGACGAAACTGCTTCTGAAACAATGGGTGTGTTACTTAGCTGATATCGACTATATAAATCCTTTTTTTCATAATTTGTTTACACTTTTACAGTCAACCATCAACGTAACGTACCACAATTTTTTTTCCTTATATATATCTAGATTTCGGAATAATCCATTATGCATGTGAATCAACCAAGTTACACAAAACATTACTTAATTATGTCTTTAAAAAAATCACCAAAATTTTTTTTCGAAGTTTAGTAATTTTTCACATCATGAATATCTATACTCAACTTTAAAATATTGGGTTCAATTGAACTCGTTGATCACTTATAGTTTAGAGAATATATACATTATTACTGGATTTTAACCTGTTATAGTATGTTATTTGTCTTATTTTTCAAGTTACTGATCTCACTTGTTATTTGTCATAATCTTTTAGGTGATAATCATTTTTTTTTGTGGTTTTTTAGGCGGAGCTTGTGGATATGGAAACTTGTTTAATTCAGGTTATGGAACAGCAACAGCAGCATTGAGCACAGTATTATTTGGCAATGGATATTCATGTGGTCAATGTTTTCAAATAATGTGTGTGAAATCAAAATTTTGCTATACAGGGTTCACCACAATTACAGCCACAAACCTTTGTCCACCTAATTGGTCCCAAGATTCAAACCATGGTGGATGGTGCAACCCACCACGTCAACATTTTGACATGTCAAAACCTGCTTTCATGAAAATTGCCCAATGGAAGGCTGGCATTGTCCCCGTATCGTACCGCAGGTACGTAACATAATTTTTTATGATCACCTGAAAAAGTTATCGAGATATGTGGTAGTGTAAAGGATTTACAAGCATGCTTTATTCATTTTGTTGAATTTAATTAAAGAATCAACTTTTAGGACAATTGAACCATCAACCAGTAGGTTGAAAGATCGAGTCATGCAATTTTAAGAAATTCTTTGAAATTTCCATTTTGTCCCTCTAGGGTTAATTTTGCATCATTTCTTAGCTCTAAAATAATGTATGGTTGTAGGGTACCTTGCGTTAAGAAAGGTGGGATTAAATTTGCGCTCCAAGGAAACGGTTATTGGTTATTGGTATACGTGATGAACGTGGCGGGAGGCGGTGACGTGGCAAGCATTTGGGTGAAAGGAAGCAAAACGGGATGGATGAGCATGAGCCACAATTGGGGAGCATCATATCAAGCATTTGCAACACTTTCAGGCCAAACACTTTCATTCAAGCTCACTTCATACACATCTCACGAGACAATTATAGTTAATAATGTTGCACCTTCTAATTGGCGTGTAGGCATGACTTACCAAGCCAATGTCAACTTCCATTAGTCGAGTCAGTAGATTCTAAATATTTTCTTCTGAGCCTTCTAGAAGTCCCAGTCCCGAGCCTCAATTATAGGCAATATTTTTCGCCTTTCACTTTTTTTTTATCTAGACGCCCTTCAAGGAGTGGTGCGACCATCTTTTTCCTCTTGTTGTTATTTGTCATAAAACTTTTATTTTGTGATATTGTACCTAGTCTTTCATCACTATTGAAAAGAATAGAACAATAATTTTATCATATATAATTTCTTTTTTACAAGTGTTACATATGCATAATTCCAATTAGTGACAATGAAGACATTGATTAAACGAATTAATTAACGAAAATTATACCAAACAAATTTGAGCAATAATTGGATCAAATACTATATTCTGATTATCACTAGAAGATATATATATAAGTAGGTAGAAAAAATGAATCTGATGTACCAACTAATAATGGAAAGAAAAAAAAACAGAATTCTTTTTTTTTCCTTCTCTAATCATAATTAGCATGGGGTTACTCTTTAATCAAGAAATCAATAAGAACTTATCAAGAGAAAATTATCAAATATACTTGAGATGTATGACAATTGAGTAACAAAATTAAGCTTGATTATCTAATTCATCATCTAATTGTCTTTCATTATAAATTGAAGCTATATATATCATCAAAACTAACTTGAGAATCTAATCATATTTTGTAACACAAGTAATTTTACATACAAAATAACTCCATATATTATCATACCATAAACATAAACTAGTCGCGAAAAATAAACCTGCATTTTTTATAAAAAAAAATTAACTTAAAATTCCTAACGGGAGATAAAAATATCAGAACCTAAATAATTAATTGAAGCTTCGTGATTGATTCAAGAAAAGTTAAACAATAATTGTGTATTGTTGATTCTTTAATCTAAAAATTTAAACGTGCAATTAGAAATAACATTAACATATGTTTTTATTTACTTTATTATATATTTTTATTTACTTTATTATATCTTTAACGGATCGTAGATTAAAAAAAAAAATCTACAAAGAATGGAAGGATTTTATTTGTTGAATGGCTCCGTGCCAATCAAGAATTATCCATTATTGGAGTGGGGGACATATAAATATAATGAAAACCAAAAGACAGAATATTTTAAGTGCATAAGGTAATACAAAGAGCCTTTTTTGCCTTAAGCACGCCTCTTTCTTTTTTGACATGAATTGCCATCATCATATCCACCCCTTCCAAAATCATTCCTCCAGCCTTTGTCACCTGACTCTACTCCCTCACCCCCCCCCCCCTACCCACCTCTCATTATATTTATTTGTCAGAAGTGGAGTCAGAATTTGAAGTTTATAGTTAGTTAGTTCGCGAATTTACTTATACATATTAAATACAAATCCGACACTAAGCAAAAATTATTAAGCTCGTCCGAAACTGTACATAATATTGTAGCTTTCGCCATGTTGCTTAGATTCTACAACAAATATTGTAACATTCATGACTGATCCTTAAATAAATACATGATATTTTAGCTTCATCGTCCTCTGTTGCTTGAAATCTTCAAAAATATTATTATGCTCACTCGTCAAGGGGTCGAGCTAGCTCATTGGTTGAGCCTGATATCTTCGATTCAAACCTTATTTTGTATTAAGAAATTCATTGAATATGAGTAATTTTGAACCAGAAACTTTGAAAAATTAGAATCTCAATCTCATAAACTTCAAGTTCTAACTCCGTTGGATCTTTAAATGATGCATTAGGTGTGATTACATTGATGCAAGATCCAATCAACATAATTAATTTCGATCCCATTTAAAAGTTGCATTACTTTCAAATTTACATGCCAAAGTAACAGCTCATTTTCCCTCAAAAAGTTTGAAACAAAGAAGATTCACTAATAAAGTTGGTCAAGACTTCACCACAAAGTATACATTTTTTTTTTTTGAAAATAGAAACTTTATTTCAAGATTATGGCCCCCTATAGTCTACCCCTAACAAAGTTGAAAAAAAAAAAACATTACAATAGACTTATATTGCCTTAAAGAACATGTTACATAACACAAACTTCACAATTCACATAATAATACTTCCCTCTTTTCTCCAATTATCTCCATTTTTGCGCAAAAAATAGCCTTTTGATGATCAATCCTGGAAAGAACTCAACAATCTACACTCAATTAGGCAATTCCTTCTTCAAATGGGCTCACTTCTTTATCTTACTCTGACATTACTTTCATTGGCATTCACCGTGACTCTTACAACTCAAGCACAAGGTATAAAATCATCGCGACTTCTTGATCTAGTCCTACGAGACAATACATTCCGTTATTACAACACAAAGAAGTTCAAAACCGCGAAATTATACCCCATACAGTTACCATCCAATCTATCAGGCATCAAAGTCGATTCAATAAGGTATCGTTGTGGTAGTCTAGCAAGATATGGTGCAAAAATTAAAGAATTTAAATTGCCAATTGGGGTAAGTATTCAACATTGTGCTGAAAGAGTACTTATCATTCGACAAAATCTTGGATCTAATTGGTCTTCGATTTACTATGATAACTATGAATTATCAGGTTATCAACTTGTTTCCCCTGTTTTAGCATTATTAGTATACAATGCTGGTGATGACATTGTAACATCGTCTAATATTCCATTTGAACTGAAATTTCTATCTGATAAATCTCCGATCACTATTGATTTTAGCAACACTACAAGAGTAGTAAATTCCACCCCTGGGATCATACCATTATGTGCTAGCTTTGAGCGCGATGGAAAGGTGATACTAACAAAACAAGTGTCACAAAATGTTTGCTCTGCTTCAAAACAGGGGCATTTTGGTTTGGTTATTGAGTCGCCTTTGATACCTTTGAAAAATAAGCGGGAAAGTAAGTGGAAACTAGCTATTGGGAGCTCGATTGGAGCTGCATTGGGCGCGTTTCTATTAGGTTTGTTATTAATAGCGATATTCGCGAAGGTGAAGAAGAAAGCAAGGATGGAGGAATTGGTAAGAAGAGCATATGAAGAAGAAGCTTTGCAAGTTTCAATGGTTGGACATGTTAGAGCACCAATTGCAGCAGGTACTAGGACTGTTCCAACTATTGAACATGAGTATAGTCATCATAATACTTCTTAAAAAATATTATTATTATTATTATTTTTTGGGGATTATTATTCTTTTTGTAAGATGAAAATGTTTTTGAAGTTTTTATGTATTGATAGAATTTAAATGTTTTAGGCTAGGGAAATAGATTAAAATGCTGACAATTAATTTGTTGTATCTGTTCTGCTAAATTGAACCTCTTTTTTCTTGGGGGAATTCTTTTGCTCTTTGTTATAATTTATCTACATTTTAGTTGTGATTTTACTTTTTTTTCATTGTCAGTGTAGTTTTACTTTCGATAGTCTTTTAGAAATAGTGTTTCTACCTCTATGAGGTAGTGGTAAGGTCTGTGTATTGTACACTCTATCCTTTTCAGACCTCATTTGATGGATTTCACGGGATATGTTGTTGTTGTAGTGTGGTTTTACTTGTTAAGATGGGTAATTTACTTGATTGTCTAGGTTAATTATATTAACCATTTCTTTTTGTAACAAAATGTAGTAATTTATTTCAACAATAATGAGTAATATAATTTTTATGGTATTTATTTGATTCTTCCAAATAAGAATACAAATTATTTTTTGTGGATTATTATTCTTTTTGTAAGATGAAAATGTTTTTGAAGTTTTTATGTATTGATAGAATTTAAATGTTTTAAGCTAGGGAAATAGGTTAAAATGCTGACAATTAATTTGTTGTATCTGTTCTGCTAAATTGAACCTTTTTTTTTTTGGGAATTCTTTTGCTCTTTGTTATAATTTGTCTACATTATAGTTGTGATTTTACTTTTTTTTCATTGTCACTGTAGTTTTACTTCTGATAGTCTTTTAGAAAAGTTTTTCTACCTCTACGAGGTAGTGGTAAGGTCTGTGTATTGTACACTCTATCCTTTCCATACCTCATTTGATGGATTTCACGGGATATATTGTTGTTGTAGTGTGGTTTTACTTGTTAAGATGGGTAATTTACTTGATTATCTAGGTTAATTACATTAATCATTTCTTTTTGTAACAAAATGTAGTATTTTATTTCAAGAATAATGAGTAATATAATTTTTATGATATTTATTTGATTCTTCCAAATAAGAATATAAATTATGTTGAACTAGAGCTTGATTGTGATCCAAGGACTTGAATAGCTTGATCTTGAATAATAAATTTAAATTTCACAACACAAACAAATAATCTTTTGCTCAGAAATGCTTCAAATTTTGAGATATTTTGTTCTTGATCCTTTGAATACTTGGGAGTAGCATGTAAATACTTAAACATGTTAGGCTTGTAGAGAAATTAAGGACCTTTGATCCACGAGTTCTTTTCTGTTTCCTGTTTTGAATTTGATTCGATTTATATTATATAGATATTTTCTATTATTATAGATGATGTGAAAGTTGGACATAGAAGTTAAAATTCACACAAAATGCAAAATAAAAAAGTATTTCTATGTGGGGTTTTGACTTTTTAGACTGTGGAATTGAAATGATGTACCATAATGATGTACCATAATAATGAAAAAAAACAGTAGAAATAACAAAAGCTTAAAGGCGTGTTACTTTGAGTCGACAAAAACTTTAGAAACAAGGCATGGCATGCTAAGCAATCATGCAACATTGTGTGATAAACATATAAAAATTGTACATGTTTGACAATTGAGAGTCATATATTTGTAAGAAAATAGATAATAGCATAGTAATGCATTTCTATAAAATTGTGAGTCTCTTTATTAGCTTTTATTTTGTACTTTTGTAGTGTATATATAATTTTCTAGAATGTAGCTATGATTGATTCGATAAAATGGAAGGAACACATTTGACATAAAAGTAAGATATGTGTGAATTCTACCTTTTTCAAATCTCACTCTATGAGAATACACTATGGAATGTAGTATTAGCTATGACTGATTTGATAAAATGGAATGAATGTATCTGATGTAAAAATAAGATAAGCGTATATTCTACCTTCTTTAGATCTCACTCTATGAGAATACACTATGGAATGTAGTAATAGCTATGACTGATTTGATAAAATGGAAGGAATGTATCTGACGTAAAAATAAAGTATGTGTGCGTTTTACCTTCTTCAGACCTTATACTATGAGAATACACTGAATATGTTATTGTTATTATTATTGATAAAGTGGAAGAAATTGTTTATATTTTTTGCTGGAATTTTTTATTTATTTATTTTTGGAAAAAAAAAAAGTGGGGGGTGCGGGGGGGGGGGGGAGTGGTATCATTAAATCTTGTGTAATAAATCAAAGAATAAAGAAATTGTCTTCTTCGCTCTATTAATCCTTGTAGGTCCACTTGTTGTAATTTTTGTTTTGTTAATACTCTTTCCTCCTTTACTTCTTTGTCTTATATGAAAAAGAAAAATCCCTAAACTTTTTTTTTTCTCTTTTTATTGAATTGTTTTTTATTAAACTTGTAAAAAACTAATATAAAAAGGTGTGACTTCACGGATATGAGAAATTGCTAACAAAACAAAATGGGCCTATTTGTCTCACCCCTACACTTGAGACCTAATTTAAAAATCTAAAACCCAAAAATGTCTAGACACTTTATTTTTATAAAAATATGTAATGGTTTTTAATTTTGTAACCTAGTTGCCTATAAAAGGAGATGTCTTTGTAAAGTTATTTACCACTACAAAAAATGTTATATTTCCCTCTTTATTTTAAGTCAATTTTTGAGAAATTATTTTGTGCGGTTTTCGAATTTCAATCCTGAGTTTATATGTTTAAAAATGATTGAAGAACATTAAAGAATGACCATCCACGATAACTTACATTTCAATCATCTGAAATCGCTTTTAAGCACATTTTAGGTTAGGGTGTCCACGAAAAATTGAATCAAACCAAAGAGAAAATATTGTCAATTCTTTTTTTTTTTTGGTTTTTAATTTTAAAAATGATAAATTTTGGTTTGGCTTTGATGTTAGAAATAAAACAAAAATCAAATTAACTCTATAAATACCAATTTTAAAAAATATTATTTGTACATATTAATTTTTGTGCACTCCTAGTTTGTAATTTAAGTTTTTGCCTTTACTTTCTTGTTTGACTTGTAATTTTATGTTGATAATTTCTAGAATTTATTTCATGTTCAAACAACTTATCTTTCAGTAGTTATAAATTTTTCAATATTATCTAATTCAATGAGCGTCTATATCTTTGTATATCTTTAACTTTTCACATAAATTTTATAATGTTCCTTGGAGATGATAAATTTTTGGACGATGTAAACATTTTTTAAATTTTCCCCATTATTTACCCTTTATTTAGTAAACCTTACATTTTCTTGGAGACTAATTTGAAAATAATCAAAATTTATATTCTTAAATATTTTTTCAAGGGGTGTCACATACCTCAACAATTTACTTAATATGGACTAGAGGTTGGAGTGTTTTTTTATAATAAAAAAATGAACAAACCACAAAATTGACATAAATTGAAGTGATGAAAAAACAATAAAATTTGTTTGGTTTGATTTCAATAATTAAATAATCGATTAAATTTATTTGATTTGTTTTATAGAAACTTCGATCCGAACTAATTAATGACCTACTCTACTCTTAGGTTCAAATTTCAAAAAAAAGAAGATAGTAGGTAATATCTCTCAATTTGTCGAAGCCAGCCTCATAAAATCAAACGAAATGGATATAAATTGACTTGAACATCACAATTAAAAAAGAAAATTATGGAAAATATTGTACACTACTGATGCATATATAGATATTTAAATTCACTATACCATATAATTAATAGCATGACCAAAACTACATATATTTATTATTGGGAAAGGGGTCTGAAAAATACTTTAACTTTGGTCGAAATTGTTGTTACGATACCAAACTTTATGGAGGACCTTTTACCCCCTGCACTATTTAATAGTGTATTTTAAAGGTATATATGTCAACGTGGACACATTACTATTTAAAATGATGCAATATTTATAATGTCCACGTAGACACATATATACCTTTAAAATACACTATTAAATAGTATAGGGGGGGGGGGGGGGGTAAAAGGTACTATTAAAAAGTACAGGGAGTAAAAGGTCATTTTCAAAGTTTGATATCGTAACAGTAATACCGATCAAAGTTAAAGTATTTTTCAGACAATTTTCCCTTTATTGTTTGTCTTTTCTATTAACCCTTTGAAAGATTCCTCAATTAATCTATTATTATGCCAACTACTATGGAGTATCAATTTATTTCATTAACAACTTGTCTCTTACCAAAATTTAATTTCTGAAATATCAACCAACCAATAATCACTTTGAAGAATCAACTCAAATTAATGATTCTCTCCCCACCAAGAAAAATTAAGTTAAAGGGTCTAATTTACTTACAATTTCTACCAATAAAATACTTAGGGTCTGTTTCGATGTGTTATATAGAATAATGTTTTAAAATCAGAATGGGTTGAAGTTGAAATTAGATGGAAATTTCAAATTTTATATTTTGGAAAAATTGAGATTTGAAATTATAACTTCATTGCGTAGACTAAACACAATTTTTAATCACATTTGATATGTATATCAAATCAAACTTTGAGTGTATACGAGATATATATCATGTATTCGTTTATTTGGTGTAAATATGAAGAGCAGATAAATTCATGTATATCGTCATCTGATCTCTACCAATAGAAGGAACCAAGTGGAAGTAGAGGGGTTCATACAGACCCCTTTCATCAGAAAATTATGTTGTATATTTTCTGATTACAACAACAATAATATATTTCGTGTAATTCCACAAGTGAGTTTTGGAAAGGGTAGAGTGTATGCAGACCTTATACCTATATGGGAGACTATTTTTGGGTGACCCTCGATTCAAGTGTATATTTAAAATTAAAATTACTTTTATGATTATATTATAAATGTCAAATCCTTTTAACTTCTTTATATGTTTACTTCTTCGTATTTTTAAATCCCTTAATAAAATTTTTGACTCCCCCACAAACTCCACTCGATTACTTCGGAAACTCGTCTTGATCCTTCCTTTGCTTCAATAAAATTATACCTACTAATT